TATATATATATATATATATATATATATATATATATATATATAGTAGACTCTATTAAGTAAACTAAGCTACTCAACCTGATGTAACTGTTTCCGTTTTCTAAAAAAAGTTAAACATTATTATGTTGAAATACACGACTAATTATTTAAATTTAATATTCAATTAACTTAGTTTTGTCAAAAGAAAACGTAAAAGGGTGTAAACAATTGATTGTATCATTATTATAAATTTCAACATCTCATATTATACTAACGTCTTAAATTTCATTAATGATTTTTCATGATAAAAATTAAACTTCACTAAATATAAATCAATTATTTCATTTTGAATAAAGGCAAGTTAAGCTTTTCATTATTATTTTTTCCTCTGTCCGTTTGTTCTTCTTTTCATCAGTGCCTAGCAGATCCGTAAATCAAACATTCTTATTTCCATTCATTTTTATGTTCGTTTCGATCTCTTTCCCACTTGTTTTTCTTTGAAATGCCGCGACAATGGAAGTTTTTTACACTAATTAAAGTTGACTCGGCTCAACCCTTTCGTCATGCGAGCGAGAAAGCAACAATCTTTACGTATATCAAATCATTGATTAGCCAAATGAATCACAATTAAGTGAGGAAATATGATGGGAGTGTTGAATCTCCACAGCCCACATGAAAAGTAAACACATCCTTTTATGATCATTCATTGCAGAAGTCTTGCATAGAAAAGAAAAAGGGAATCAGTACTAATGTTTTGAACTGAATTTTGTGGCTTCACCAACTAGAGTGCAGTGCCTGTTTCCACTTTCCATTCAGTGTGTAACTGACACATTTATGTTTCCTTGTACTCTGCAACATGTCTACGACCAAAACCATTATCTCTCATTTATTGCATTCATAATCTTTAATTGATCCCAATAAATAAAGCGAGTAAGCAACTGTACTCCACCTATTCAGCTCATAACTGTGTTTTGGAAAGTAATGCAAACACTTTCGTTTTGTTAAATATGTATCCATCCATCATACACGTGTGTTACCCCTATGAGTCTCTACTATAGGACTGGTTCCTCATTCGCATACCAACACATCTTTTGATGTTTTCATCACTTTCTTCCTCGTCTTCGTTATGCGATCTTGTATGTTCTGCTGATTCTGACATCTCTGCTTTGCACGACATCGTTTGGGATTGATGTCAAGAAAAGGGTACGTATGCATGAAACCGTGACTCCCTTTTTGCGCTTTTGAGCTTTATGTTGTGTTTTTGGGAAACAAGAATATTTTAAGGAAATCAAGAAAAATAGAGCTTGTGTTTTCTCTGAGAAATCTTCATCGGGCGATACCATTTTCTTTCGCCCTTCAATTATTGTTCTTTAATAAAATTTATGTACTATATCCCTTATGAGTTCAGTGGTGATTAACTCACTGATCAACTCTCTCTGTCCACAAATGGTTACTACGAGAATAAAGTAGGATATATATATATATATGTGTGTGTGTGTGTGTGTGTGCAATAGCTTAGTCTACAGTTCAATCTTAAATGTTACGATACAGACATGTTTTTCTTTTCTTTTCCTTTGCTGATGTTTCTTTGATGTGTATTCATGTTGGATGACATTGGGGACTGATTATTTAAGTGGCTATTTGAATGCTTAATTGGATATGTTTCAGTGGGACAAAGTGACAAACAAGTATGATATGTCCGCTATAAAACAGTGAAAATCAAGGGGACTAGACCATGTAAGTATATATTCTGTAAAAAATTATTAGAATTGTTGACTGTTTTAGAATATAAACAAATTCAGTCTGTTGATGAAATTTGTGTGACAGAAAACAAGGATTAAGCCATGTATAGATCATTTCTGAAATGTGATGATCCAAAAGGAGTTGTAGGATGTGGGACAATCAGGAAATACAGAACTCGTTCTCACAAAGGGAAGGACAAGACAAAAATGCAGAAGACAAGTGATATAATGGAAACATCCTTGATCAACAAGAGATACAAGGAGGAGAAGAAGGTCGCCAAAGAATGCGATGGAAATCTCGTTGGTCCATCATCTTTGCAGCTCACAAAGGTCTCCGAAGAGGATCATAGCTTGACCAATATGCTAGATTCATGGTCTAGAGATATTATATGTGAAGGAAAGTCCGAAGATATAGCAAAAGGTATTTTAAAAGGGGCTCTTGGTCTGCAAGATTCTCTGAGCATGCTTCGCAAGTTGCAAGAGGAGGTCGCACAACATACAGCTCCTTTTGGGAGAAAACAGACTGAGAAACCAGAAAGAGACAGAATTGATGGAAACAAGATTGGTATAAGGCAGGCTAATCCATTAGGAGAACAAAGTAATACAAAGGGGTTTCAAAGATCACAGCTTTCTGCTGGTGGTTCTTCAAGTAACTGCAAAGAGGAACTAAAGAAGGTGATTAAGGAGAGTTTGGTTAGGCAAAATATGTTTCCAAAGACCTCTGACGGATTTAATTCAGGTTCAGAAACTTTTCATATAAGCACAAGCCAATGTTTTGGGGTCAAGAATGACAGACTTTCTGATCCTTCTTCATCAGTAATAGCTTCAAGGATTGAAAAAGGACCTAGCCTAGTTTTCAAGCTGATGGGTTTAGAAGAAGGCCCCTCAAAATCATTTCCAGCTGCAAAGCAAAAACTATTGGGTGGTGAGATAGATAAGTCAAAGGTCAGAAACAATGATTCTACGGATGAGAAGGTTAATCCAGAACTAAAAGTCGTGAGGGAAACTCTTGAGACTACGCATTTCAAAGGTATTTTTAAGGAGAATTTTGTCAAAGATTCTAAGCATCATGTGCATCATCATTTCAATGACACCAGTTCCAAGCAGTTTGTTGATTTATCTCACATTTCATCTACGGAACCTCAATGTACAATTTACCAACAATCAGAAAAAAGTGCCTATATTCCAGTTCTTCCAAAGGAGTTGAGAAAACTGAGAAGAGAAATACTCTCTTCCAAAACTATCAAACATAGAAAAGGTTCCAGTTCCACCAACATGGGAAAAGAAATGGAAAAAGGTATTAGGAAACGGCTTAAGAAAGAGGGAGGACCAAAATTTCTCAAAGAGGTTACTAAAGTGGATGCAAAAGGAAACAATCCTGTTGAAGAATATGCGGGTAAGGTAAAACTGTATTGTCACATTGGTCACACATCACATGTAAATGAGACAATTGATAGAAAATGGAAGGTACGGCCGATTAGCAGAAAACAGACAGAAAAGGATATCTCACAACCAACAATTGTGGCAGAACATCAGTACAAACGAGAAATCCCCTCCACAAAATTGAGGAAGCTGAAAAGTGGATCCAGAATCGACAAGAATGAGATTTCTTGCCTAAAGAGTAGAGGTTCAAACAACATCTCCACTAAAAAAACTACGAATTCCAAGGACGTTAAAGTTGAGAATAAAAAAGTTAATTCCGTGGTAGATTCCATAACAGGTAGAAAGAATCAAATGAAAAAACAAAGCCCTGTTGCTGAGCCAGAACTGGCTAATCTAACTGTAAGTTTGCCTTTTATTCTGTGCATATATATTAACCAGATAATGAAGTGAGATTTCCAATGAGTCTGAATTTACAATTCTTATGCATAGGTTGCACAAACCAGGCAGATAGAAAAGAAGAAAAATTACCCCGAGATTAGAATCTCAACTAGACTAGAAGATGAGCTCCTGATGGTGCGTGAAGCAGATGCCTTCATAAATAAGATTGGAGGTAAGTTTTTCAAGCTATTCCTGCTGGCAGAATTGAAATGAAACTAAAAATGCATTTTTTATGGATGCATCGTATGTGTGTTTATGCTTATCAGATATATGGAAGTAGAATGCCTTGCCTTCTTAATTTCTTGAACAATACAGAAACAAGTTACTATATTTTCTAATTTATGATAAAAACCAAAAGTTGTACTGCTACCATGGATCTAACCATGGATCTTGTTGGGTTTTTCAAGGGTAGACACCAGCTTACTAATTTTTTAACTTTTAACTCACCTTGAATTCTTGGTAGATTTCTGCAGGGACTTTTTTTTTGCCTCTTTCTAGTTGTCTTGGTCCGTCTCTATCAAAATAATTATTGGAAGTTTCCTTGCTTACGGAAGAAATTGTGTCTGTTAGGAATAAAAGAGAATGAGTTAGACACGTGTGAGACACGTGTAAGGAGAGTAATATGTTATAGTTGTTAGAAGAGAGAGAAGGTATAAATAATAAACTAAGTAGGGGGAGAGGGGGATCGGAGAATTTGTTCAGACTGGATATTTTCCAGAGGAGGAAGGTTAGGCTTCCTTGGGGTGATTCTTGTATTCTGATTCACTCATTCATCATTAATACATATATACATACTTTTCCATTCTTTATTCGAGAGTTGTGGTGAGAAGAGAGTCTTGATTAGGTTATTGGCATAAAGTAACCTAACAATTTGGTCCGACCTGCCGGATCCAAATCGGAGGAGTTGCGCGATGGAGAACAAGATGAAAGCACTGGAGGAAAGGTGGGAAGGAAAGTTCGAGTCCATGGAAGCCATGTTGGAAGAGATTCGAGAGGAGATGAGAGGAAGGGCTCGAAATGAGAGTCGCGACCGTGGAAGACGAAACATTAATCGCGACCGTGGGAGAAGAAGGAACCAGCGTCGGAGCTCCGAAGGGAGTCGCGATTCCGTCAACGCTGAACGCAAACGGCGACCACCAGAGAAGTCGGAGGACGAAGCGGAAGAGGACAGAGGAGACGTGCAACGTAGCGGGATGAAACGCATTGAACTCCCAACATTCGAAGGAGTGGACCCCATGGGCTGGATCGCGAAGGCAGAGAAATTTTTCGATCTACAGAACTTGACGGAGAGGAAGAAGATGAAGTTGGTATATACCTGTATGGAGAGAGGCGCGAGCTACTATTGGATTCGTTTCTGGCGGAAGAAAACCCGACATCCAAATTGGAAGATATTCACGGAAGCGCTGACGCGGAGGTTCGGCGAACTGAATCGAGACACCGTTTGTGAGGAGCTGGCAGCGGAGCTACAGGAGGGAAGCGTCAACAAGGACTTCCAGGAGTTGGGAAATTCGGTGCCACAAGCATCGGGAAAACCAGATCACTCATTTTCTGTTTCTGTCGATCTTGGAGCTGGCATTATAAATGGTGTTGAGGCTGTGGGGGCTATTGAGCGAAGATCAGATACTTATTCGTTGATTGGTGATCCGTTCGATCTTGGGTCGACAATGATGAACAGTGATTGCTTTCGCAATGACAAAGAAACCAAACAAAACAATTCGGCAAATAGACCATTTAATTCCGAAAGGGACAGTTCGGTGGAAAGAAAGCTGGATGAGGATATTTTGAACTCTCAGGAGAGGAGGGTTAGGGATTGGCACTACACTCACTTGGAGCATGATTGTGCTGCTTCACTTAATAATGTTTCTCTTTCCGATTGGAATCACGATGAAGTGTATAGGAGTTTTGGAGGAGATCATGGTATGATTATAAGGGGTCACAGTTTCGTTGTTGAGTATCTGGGAGAAAGAATCACAATTCCCTTGAACCACATTGTAACAAATGTGTCAAATGATATCAAGGAGCCTGGTCAAAATTATAAAATCAAAGTTTCTACAGCAAATAACAACGATTTCTTTGGTGATACTGTTCTTGTTACTGTTTTACTGGGCAGTTTGAAGGCTGGAACTATACAGTGGTACCCACCTTTGCCACAATGGAAATGTTTTTCGGGGAAGCGTTTTAGTTATGGAACTCTAAATACAGTGGTTCTGGAATTTCCTAGTGAAGTTTGGGATTATGCTGGGGACTACTTGGAAGCAACAAATGCGAGGAGAAACACTAGAGGTCACTACTTTATGTTTTGTAATGTTAGGAACGCAGTTGGGGTTCCTGCCCTTATTGCATTAGAAGTTGGTAAAGTAGCCACAGATGGTCAAAGCTGGAGCTCTTCGGGTCATCTCAAACATGCAATTAAGGTTCTCCGAAAATTTTTTGGGCAGGATTCAGTTCCAGATCATGTTACATATGTGGTGACTGATTGGGATACTGTTTGGGGGGCGATGATGAGTGGACTACGTGAGTCTGTTAGCAAAATGGACATATTGAGCACTGGAAATGAATATATTGTTGAGATGAAGGGATTAGAAATCAGAGACAAACTTTATTTCTTTGAGTCGGGAGGTTTGGATGTGAATTTAGGAGCTACCTGTTTGGCATCCCTGGGAAAAATGAAAGTAGATTGGTGGCAGTTGAGCATGGAGATTGAGCAGGAAGAATGGAAGACATCGGTGGAGGATTCGAGGAGCAGAATGTTGGAAGTTGATAGAATCCAGGAAGAATGGAAGATATTGGAGGAGGATTTGCCACCACCCAAGCCTCCAGACTTGAATTGGAGGGCATCACCTGGGAAGGGAAGAGGAGCATTACGGCAAATAACAGTTCCCTAACTTCAACCTTGAGGACAAGGTTGATTTTGAGGGGGGGAGTAATGTTAGGAATAAAAGAGAATGAGTTAGACACGTGTGAGACACGTGTAAGGAGAGTAATATGTTATAGTTGTTAGAAGAGAGAGAAGGTATAAATAATAAACTAAGTAGGGGGAGAGGGGGATCGGAGAATTTGTTCAGACTGGATATTTTCCAGAGGAGGAAGGTTAGGCTTCCTTGGGGTGATTCTTGTATTCTGATTCACTCATTCATCATTAATACATATATACATACTTTTCCATTCTTTATTCGAGAGTTGTGGTGAGAAGAGAGTCTTGATTAGGTTATTGGCATAAAGTAACCTAACAGTGTCCAAAAAAGAGCATTCCTTAATCTATATTTTATTGGATGATCAATATTTCTAACCTATAAAGTTATGTCGGAAATAATAGTTCTACTATCACAACTTAATTCAGTCATTGCTTTGTATTATGTTATCCTAAGCTTACACCTATGAATAAATCAAGAACTTCATCACATAACATGCATTTTCATTGAGTGTCTTTGTGTAACTTATTTGTCTCGTTTTGACACCACAGAAAAATGCAAGATGAGGAAGAGTTCTTCAGGCGATGAGGTCATTACGCTGCTCAAATCTGAACATAAAAATGATGATATCAATGCTTATAGCATCGACGGTGACAGAGAAGGGACAGAGCTGAAACATTTTCTTCTAACGAGTCCATCATTCATAGGACATGCAAAGAAGCTCTTCAATCTTGATGAGGATCGTCACAACACCCTAGAAAAGGATGAAACCATTTACAGCATGACAAACATGAGGCTTTACTTGGATTGCGCTTACGAACTGACAGAACGTAAGAGTCTTCAAGACTCCGAAGTCGTTCGTTCTCTCTTGCTGGCATGTGGGGGAAACTCAAGATTACGCATCTCCTTATGCAAGTTGGTGGAAGAAATCTGTGATGGCATTGAGAATCTGAAATTTTACAGAGAAGATTATGATTGTAGAGAGGAAGATTTTGCGTACAATGACACCTTTGCAATGATGGAGAAAGACATGAAGTGCAAGCGAGAGATAAATGGAATGTGGGAAACTGGTTGGAGAACAGGCTTTTGTGCAGACGAGGCTCAACTGGTTGTCAATAAAATAGAGAGCCTGCTTATAAGTGGATTAATTGAGGACCTTGTGATCAATTTATTAGCTTAATTAAATATTTACTCAAATAATTCGGAAAAATTATTGTCTAATTTTAGTACCTTTTTCCTTTCACAAACTTTTCATTTCTCTTTATATTCTTATTTGCTAAATATACGGACACTCGTTCAAAACATAAGCACTCTCCCACAAATAATAAAGCTGAGACAGTTTTATTTCTGTTTGTTTTACATAAAGCAGAGACAGCATTTTAATCATAGTTGGAGCGATACATGCATTTACATAGGAGAATCCAGAGTGATCGAAATGGTCGATTTGAGAGGCCAGATGATGGAGACATGTCATGAGTCATCCATACATAGTTTGTTCCATGCTCTCGCATCTCAAATATTCTGCTACTGCATGCAACCATAACCAGATGAAGAATCAAAAACCTATTCCTTCTCTCATAACCAAACCCAGGATTCTATCTCAGATTGTACATAGCATAAATCAAGAAGATGTCCCCTTAAAGATAAGAAAATTAAGAGTCTCCAGAGCAAAATAGATGAAAGTCCCCGATGAATGGGTGAAATAGCACCCAAAATTCGATCCCACCACGCATTGCCACCCATTCCCATACACACTATCAAATTCCTGAAAATCAAACGCACAAACAAATAATCAATACAAAATAACACAACACCCCACAGAACAAAAACTAGTCTTGAGATATAAAATGATTGGAGAAGAGAAAATATGAGAAACAGAAAGAAAGATGAAAGAGAGGCACCTTCTTGATATGGGCAGCAACAGAAATGCAATCAGAAACATCGTAGAGATCAAGGGCATGAGAAGCAGCGGCCATGGCATGGATCTGCATCTTGGGTGACATGTCTGTTTCTTTCACCAAAGCTTTGCCTTCCAACATCCTTAATTGAGTGATGATGATTCTTCTCGGTTGTTCTTCTTTGTTACAAGGTTTTTGTAGTGTAACAATCTGTTACCTATGGCTGAGCCTGTGGCACCAGAAGAGAAGAATGAAGAAGGCCCAGTTCCAACTTAATCCAGCCCTGGTTCCAACAATGATGCATTGCTGATTTGAGGGATCTTATTATTGATGGGGTGACACTACTTCAAAACATACACGTATCCTTACACCACCTTTATTTTCACCTATCTCTTGT